CAAAGCAGGGGGAATCGTCATGGAGAGGGTTGTTCTGAGCGGGGGAAAGGAGTGGCGGGGAAAGGGTGAAGCAGCCTCCCTCTCAGCCCAATCTTCCATCACTCCTGCTTACAGCCTGTCCAAGTAAAATGTCAGCACTCGTGCTGCTGTTGTGGTTGTTAGGGACATGCGTGAGGGTTTCAGTGCAGGGAAAATGAGCAGATTCTCTGCCAGTTGCGCCACGGCTAAGAAGGACTTCAGCACTCGAGTCACATCATGCAGCATTTATGGTTATTTGTTCAGGTACTTATTCACCGCTTAATTCACTGCGAAGGCGCCCTCTAAGTGGTTCGCAAATATACACCAGTTTTATGTTATAAAGGTAAAGGGACCCCTGACCATTAGGTTCAGTCGCGGACAACTCTGGGGTTGCGGCAGTCATCTCACTTTACTGGCCGAGAGAGCTGGCGTACAGCTTCCGGGTCATGTGGCCAGCATGACTAAGCTGCTTTCTGGCAAACCAGAACAGTGCACGGAAATGCCGTTTACCTTCCCGCCAGAGTGGTACCTATTTATCTACTTGCACTTTGACGTGCTTTCGAACTGCTAGGTTGGCAGGAGCAGGGACCGAGCAACAGGAGCTCACCCTGTCGCGGGGATTCGAATTGCTGACCTTCTGATCGGCAAGCCCTAGGCTCTGTGGTTTAACCCACAGCGCCACCCGTGTCCCTTCATGTTATTATATATATGTGTGTGCAAATCATTAAAAATACTCAAGAAAACAATTTCATCAGAGGGGATATGTTAGCCATCTTCAAATATCTTAAGGGTTGTCACATAGAAGAGGGAATATGCTTGTTTTCTCCTGCTCTGGAGGGTAGGACTCGAACCCATGGCTTCAAGAAAGGAGATTCCAATTAAACATTTGGAAAAACTTTCTGATAGTAAGAGCTGTTTGGCAGTAAAACGGGCTCCCTCGGAAGGTGGTGGACTCTCTTTCCCTGGAGGTTTATAAGCAGAGGTTCGATGGCCATCTGCCATGGATGCTTTTAGCTGAGATTCCTGCATTGCAAGGGGTTAGACTAGATGACCATTGGATCCCTTCTATCTTTATGATTCTGTGGTCAAAACATTAAGGATCCCCAGTCAACATGCTCAATAAAACAAATCCATTTAAACAATTATAGCAATCAAAGGAGGTAAAATGGCAATTAGAACAATTGAAGTCAGGAGATCAGGGGAACGCTAAATAGGTGTGTTTTCAAGAACTGGCAGAGTGCCAGTGCTGATGAGGTTGTGTTTAACTATGTCCTACTCAGAGTACATCAACTGAAATCAATAAACCTAAGTGAGCCATGTAGATTGATTGATTGATTGATTGACCGAATATATTTTTCTCCCAAGTTGGGATTCATTCAAGGCAGTTCACAACATTCAAAAACCTTCGTTTTAAAATACAAAGTAATTAGAACCAACTAGTTTGAAACTATAAAAATACAATAAAACACATTTAGAACCAGCATTAAAATACTGATTGCCCTGATAGCACCTAATTTTCAAAGGTCTGTCTAAATAGGAAGGTATCAAGCCTGCTAGCAGAAAGATAACAAAGAGAGCCCATCTAAACGCTCTTTCCAAGCACGCACTCTCTCTCTCTCTCTCTCTCTCTCTCTCATGTCATCACGAACCATGCCTCTGAAGATGATGAGAGTGAGAGAAGGTGCTCATCTGAGGATCTTAGCACCTGGGCAGGTTTGTAAAGGGAGATGCAATCTTTCAGATAGTCTGGGCCCAAGCTATATACAGTGGTACCTCTGGATATGAACGGGATCAAGCGGCGAAACCCGGAAGTAACGTGTTCTGTTACTTCCGGGTCACCGCGGAGCGCAACCCGAAAATGCTCAACCTGAAGCAACTTTAACCCAAGGTATGACTGTATTATATTAGATTAGCTTCAATAGATCTACTCTGATTAGGGCTAGTATTGAATAGCACCCATGGGGGTCTCTCGTATTTCAGCAGGGAGACACTTGCATAACACTAGTACCACCTATGTAAAGGCCCTGCGTCCTTTGTAATGTTGTTATTTCCTTTGGGGTCCTGCACATAAGCTGCTTGATCAGCTGCCACAGGATAGCACTTATGATGACATCCCTGATGACAAGACATACAATTTCCTCCGAACATCTGATTAAATGAACAACAGACCTAAGCCTCAGTCAATGCATAAAGGCACTCCGCTGAGATATGTCAATAAAAGCTCTCTCCTATACTCTTTCCTAGGGATGGCTGAATCTCTCAATGTGGGTTTCTATTTTTCCATTTTCCCCATTTCAGCACCAATTTGTGAATGTTACCAAAAAACCCAAAAAAAACTGTATGACTTTTCCCCTAGTGAGTGTATTTAGGCTTGCAGTTTTAAGCATGGTAAGACATGATTTTTAAGGCAGAGAATTTCATCATTTTTTTTAAAGTAGGGAATGTTGGGTGATCAATAGTGACAATTAACTTTACCCTTGCAAAAATTGAGATTTTTTTTTTCCTTGGGGGGCGGGGGACAATGACTTTAGTTATTTCCCCCTCAATCCCAGATGGGCGAACAAGTCAAACTTTTGCATAAAATGTCACAAGGTGCAGATGAATGAATCAGTAAGTCTGCATGTGGAACTTATCCTGCTCCTCAGCACTGTCTCTTTCCCTTGGATTCAACCCAATGGAACCCAGGGCACAGATTTGCAGCCTTGTTAAATACTGGAATAGTAACCATTTGTGGTGACAAAGCAGGACATGAAAGCAATTGACTTTGCCCATTGGCCATGCATCTGAAAGCCAAGATGTGTCCCTAAGCTGGGTGAGCTTTGCTGTTTTGCCCACTGCCTCAGAAAGTGGATAAAAATGAATTTGCTGTGCTGGTTCTATTTTGTACCTGGGGTATCAACAGGAAAACGGTATTGCCGCTCCCCTTCCAGCCCCAGATGTGAATGGCACCAGGATGGGCTTTTAATGAGCACAACCTGATTACTGTCACGACCGGAGGAGAGTGAGCCCCGTTTGTTTGCGTTCCATAGAGTGGCGGGGATCTGTTCTCAATCAGAATAATCCAATTTAAAGGAATGATTCATATTAGCGAACACATCTGTCTGAGGCCAGAGCAGAACCCTGGTGTTAGTTTAATAAATGACGTTCATTAAACTCAGCTGAAAATATAATCTGGAGAGACTGATGGAGTGAGCAGAGCAAAGAATAAGCAAAAGGAGCTGGCAATTATCAGCCGTCATTTGTTCTGCCGCCACCGCAGAAGTGGGGCTTGTTTGCTGAAATCTTAATTTCGTTTGGCTGAGGTGGAATCCATCAAAAAGGTCCACACAGCAGACAAAGCCCTCGTTTCTCAAAATCTGTCAGTGCAGGGGTGGACCAGGCATTGGGGGTGGGGGTGGGGGAGCGAGGATGTTAGCAGTTTTTCCTGATCTGTCCTGTACCAGGACGAAAAATTCCCAGGTCAGGATGGATGGGAAAATGCTTCTCTGGGAAGGAACAAATGAGCGAACCTCCTCCAAGAAGCATTGCCAAATCAGATACTGTCATGTCTTGAAGGCAGTAGCTTTTGCCTCTGTTACTTAGTCCCTAGTTGCTTCTGGACTAGATGACTGCCTTGCTATCTAGGTAGGGCTGCCTCTAATAATAATAATAATACTGTAATAATAATAATAAATTTTTATTTATATCCCGCCCTCCCCAGCCAAAGCCAGGCTCAGAGCGGCGAACAACAATAAAAGTAACACAGTTTACCTAAAATCACAATCAATTTCTAAAACCAATTCATTCTAAAATCAATTCAAAATCAAATTAATGCCAACCATTGGGCTAGACCTCTGTGAGGATTACAGAAGGAGAGAGGGGGTCAGACTGTGCCTTGACCAAAGGCCTGGTGGAACAGCTCTGTCTTGCAGGCCCTGCGGAAAGATGTCAAGTCCCGCAGGGCCCCAGTCTCTTGTGACAGAGCGTTCCACCAGATCGTGGGCCACGGCCGAAAAAGCCCTGGCTCTGGTTGAGGCCAGCCTAACCTCCCTGTGGCCCAGGATCTCCAATATGTTTTTATTTGAAGACCGTAAGGTCCTCCGTGGGACATACCAGGACAGGAGGTCCCATAGATATGAGGGTCCTAGGCCGTTTAGGGCTTTAAAGGTTAAAACCAGCACCTGGTTTTAACACTCTGAAGACATTCCTCTTGCAATTCTTCATGTAACACATTGTTAAACTAGGGAACTTGCTTCCATAGGAAGCTGTGGTGAAGAACAACTTATTTTAGCTTTAAAAGAGAGTTAGGCAGATAATATGGAAAAGTCTGTTGTTGGCAATTGGTTGATGCTTCTGAATTCCAATTACCTGAAACCAAGGCAGGAGAGCAGGCTTTTGTACTCAGGTCCTGTGTCCAGGTTTGCCACTGTGGCATCCTGTGAGGACAGGATGCTAGACTAGGTGGGTCATTGACTGGATCCAGCACCAAGCAGGCTTTTCTGACGTTCTTACATTTTGGAAGCCTCCACTAGTACAAAATGCAACTGCCCAGATTATCGCTTGGACACTGGTGTGAGGCTCTAATATTGTGTCAGCTGCAACAGCTACCAGTTTGCTTCTGAGCCCAGTTCAAAGTGCTGGCTGTGAGCTCCGGGAGCCCTTGGTGGCTGGGCACTGAGTCACTTGAAAGAATATTGTTATAAAAGTTGGGTGCCTCCCCCTCTCTCTGTCAAGAGTTGGCAAGAGTCCATGGGGTTCCAGGCACTCCCTAGGGCCTGTGGTCCTTTGGAGAATTGAGACAGGGTGGAGACTGTTCTAGCTTTAAGAAACATGGTTTATTCACCTATTAACTCCTTCAGTCTGCATGGAGGAGCACGGTCATTGTAAAAGGGGCTTGTACCCTGTAGCAACCACCCTGCTCAAGATGGATCCCAATAAACACACAAGACGTAACCAGCTGTACTTTTGAATAAATATGGTATACTATTCATTGTATCAAATTGTAGATTTCAACAGAAGTCTCATAAAGTTCAACGGAAAAAGCAGAAGACCCAGTGGATGGGTTATTAGACTCTATGAACAGACAGGTGGAATAGACACTTATACATGTGTGGACCTTATGCATGAACTGACTAGAGAATGAACTGATCCATTGGGTCTTCTGCCTTTTTCGTTGAACTTTATGAGACTTCCGTTGAAATCTACAATTTGATACAATGAATAGTATACCTTATTTATTCAAAAGTACAGCCGGTTACGTCTTGTGTGTTTATTGAGTATGTTTCACAGAACCATAGGTTTGTTGTTGTTGTTTTGCAAGATGGATCCCAGTCTCTCTTCTTCCCTTTCCCTTACTCAAAACTCCCTTTTCCTGTCACCTTACACCCAGTGAGCCTGCCACCCTTCCAGACCCCCAGACTCTGTTCACAACTTAGGGCAAGGGGGGAGGACATTTCTCTTGCACTGCCAATGGCCCTCAATGGCTCTTTATTGCTTCTTGATGGCCCGTCTGGCCAGTTCGTTTTGCACAGGCTAGTCTAGCAATTCCTCTGCAGCCTGTATTTCTCCCTTCTCATCCCACATAATCAAAATCCTACAATTTATTATAGGGTTTAGGGGGTCCACCTCCCCCCAAAAAAATCTATAACACCATATACACCCCTATGAACCTACCCTTAAAATTGGCCACTTGTGCAACTGCCAGTAGGTACAACCATAGCAAGGTAAGGTAAAGGTAACGTAAAGGACTCTTGGATGGTTAAGCCCAGTCAAATCCGACTATGGGATGCGGTGCTCATCTTTGCTTTCCAGCTGAGGGAGCCAGCGTTTGTCCACAGACAGCTTTCCAGGTCGTGTGGCCAGCATGACTAAACTGCTTTAGGCGCAACGGGGCACCGCGATGAGTGCCAGAGCACACGGAAACCCCATTTACCTTCACACTGCAGTGGTACCTGTTTATCTACTTATGCTGGTGTGCTTTCAAACTGCTGGGTTGGCAGAAGCTGGACCAGAGCAGAGCAATGGGAGATCACTCCATTGCAGGGATTCAAACTGCCAACCTTACAATAGGCAAACCTAAGAGGCTCAGTGGTTTAGACCCCAGTGCCACCTGCTATAACCATAGTATCAGGTACATGAGAGAGGGCTCTTTCAGGGATGGCCCCCCCAGCATGAGAATTGTGTTTGCCTCCTCTCTTGATCTGGCTTTCATTTTCCAACTGGCCTTTGGCAAAGTTTAAGATTGGGGAGTTTGTAGCAGTATATTGTAGCAATCCCATGCTTGGCACGAGAGGGTGAGCTGCGATGGTTTTATATGGGTGTATTATCTGCAGCTTATCCGTCCTGCATTTAAGGAGCTGGATTATGTATTGATTCTAATTGTGCAGTTTATAATGGCACTTGTTGTTTTATTAAGCTCACACATTACAAATGAGCGTAAGAGTGTACACTTTTTTGATTTAGGCAGCTCAGTGAATCTGTACACAGGTACACACTGTACTCTCGGTGATCATGATGTGTGAACAACTGTATGAATGTACAGCTCAATGGTTGTGTATGCAGGCACACAGCTCATTGCATGCAATATGTGAGCACGCCCACTGTGATCTTATATGGTGAGCCGTTTGAGGATGTTGGGGGTGATCTATTGTCCTGAAAGGCAGCATAGAAATGTAACTTTTTAAAATCGATAAATAAAATTGAGCCATTGAGTATGGGAACATCATTAGCAAAGTAGAGCCCATTTAAGACAGCTGTCACTTATACCAGAGGAGCAGACAACATTGCCCTCCTAGAAATGTGAAGGAAGAAAATTGCAAGGAAAGACACTGCTGATATCCTCCATCCCTTGTCCCATGAAATGCCATGGTCTCCCACTTCTTCTGCTGGGATATTGACCCCACCACCATCCTTTTTGATTCAGACCCCATGACATTTCTTGCAGGCCAAGCCATTGTGCCGCCTCTGCCCTCCCACCGGCCCACCAAGTAGGAAAAAGGACAACATAGAATGGCTTTGGTTTGAAACAGACTATGCCTTTATTGAATACAAGACACAAGAGGTTTGGCTTAGGCATGGGGCAATCGTTTACTTCCGGCCTGCATGCCGGAAGTGCCGCCATGAGTCAGTCTGGCAGCGGGGGTTCCTAAGACTTCCATCAAATAAGAAGAGCCCCGTGGAGCTTGGTGGAGTACGATTGGCCCTGGGCCTCAACGGGAAATAGGCCACTCCCCCTGTATCACTTTAAGAGGAGTTTGAATCTGATTTCCCGCTTTATCACTACTCTAAGCAGTCTCAAAGCGGCTAACATTCTCCTTTCCCTTCCTCCCCCACAACAAACACTCTGTGAGGTGAGTTGGGCTGAGGAACTTCAGAGAAGTGTGACTGGCCCAAGGTCACCCAGCAGTTGCAGGTGGAGGAGTGGGGAAGCGAACCCGGTTCACCAGATTACGAGACTACCACTCTTAACCACTACACCACACAGGATACCCTAGCATTGGAGGGACAGGAAGGAACTACAGTGGTACCTCGGGTTAAGTACTTAATTCTTTCCAGAGGTCCGTTCTTAAGCTGAAACTGTTCTTAACCTGAAGCACCACTTTAGCTAATGGGGCCTCCTGCTGCCGTCACACCGCCGGAGCACGATTTCTGTTCTCATCCTGAAGGTACTTAACCCAAGGTACTATTCTTAACCCGAGGTACTATTTCTGGGTTAGCGGAGTCTGTAACCTGAAGCGTCTGTAACCTGAAGCGTCTGTAACCCAAGGTACCACTGTACAACCTCCCCTCCATCCAAAGCTAAGATTGCCCCAACCTCGGCTCTTCATAACTGATAAGAAAAACCAGGTGAAGGGTCCAGGTGAGGGATGTTTAAATGCCCCGGGAGCAGACCTCCTCAAGCTACAGCCATTGGGAGCCTTGCAAAGCACATGGCTCGCATTCTCCTCTGATCTCCCCATCAAAGCAACCTCGCCATGTGACGCCTTTGGCCGTTTCCCAGCTTCCTCTCCCGACATGTATTTTCAAAAACTCAAGTTAGCCTTAGTCTTGGTCTGTTGGATTGTGATTAATGAGCTGGTCCTTGATGTGGCTGAATCTCCCACTTGGTTTTTTTGTTTTGTTTTGTTTTTGCTTTTGCAGAGCCTTTGTTCACCTTTCATCCCATTCCATCTCCCTCATGGGGTATATTACTTGAGGGGGTGGTTTTTAGGGATTTTTTTATGCCGGGGGGTGTTTTTAATATGTATGGGCTGACAAGAGCAGCCCTTCAAGTCCCAAGCAGACAGGCGAAAAAAGCTGAAAAGACAGAGGAAAGAGTAATGGAGAAGGAGGCAGACCTTGACCTCATAAGCTTTCAGCACTGATTAGAGCGGCGCATGGTGTCAGCCACCTTTTCTTGTTGAGGGCAGCCCGGCTGTGAAGTGATTCCCCCTCCCCTGTCCCTTCCAACCCTCTCTAATCAGTTTTCAGAGTTTCTGTCTTGGACACAAGGATACCATCTGCATTCCTGCAGACTCTATTTGGGCACAGAACCTATTTAGACACATGCAGGTGTTTGCTTGCTTGGTTATGGTTCAAACTTATACCCCATGACAATGGCTTACATAAGGTGTTTTTTTAATCTAAATAACAAGAATAGAACAGTACGGATCAATGAAAACTTAAAAAGAGGTATACGCAGGGCTTTGTTTCAGCCTGAGCTCATAGGAGCTCAACTCCAGTACAGTGGTACCTCGGGTTAAGAACTTAATTCGTTCTGGAGGTCCGTTCTTAGCCTGAAACTGTTCTTAACCTGAGACACCACTTTAGCTAATGGGGCCTCCCGCTGCCGCAGCACGATTTCTGTTCTCATCCTGAAGCAAAGTTCTTAACCCAAGGTGCTATTTCTGCGTTAGCAGAGTCTGTAACCTGAAGTGTCTGTAACCTGAAGCGTCTGTAACCCGAAGTACCACTGTACCTCTCAAGCGGGCGCCATTACCATTCTAAGACAGCAAGGGAGAAGTTCATGCTGAGCTCCTGCTCCTCTTTATTTTAGAAAAATAGCACTGGGTATACAACAGTTAAAAGTGATGCTAAGAAAGCGTCGAAATGCAGAAAGACCTTTACCTTGATATGAGAAAAGAGTAGACACCAGGCAAGGTTCCTTGCAGAGGGCACTTCACAGGTAAGGACCCATCACTGGAAGGGGGCTCATTCAAGGCCTAAGTTGTTGAGCAGTTAGCATTACTACAGACCCTCCAAGTCTCCCTATTTTCCAGGGATGACCCTGATTTACAGAAGCTGTCCCAGTTTCTGATTTGATCCCAGAATGTCCTGCTTTTCCTTAGGTAAAGGTAAAGGGACCCCTGACCATTAGGTCCAGTTGTGGCCAATTCTGGGGTTGCGGCGCTCATCTCGCTTTATTGGCCGAGGGATCCGGTGTACAGCTTCCGGGTCATGTGGCCAGCATGACTAAGCCACTTCTGGCGAACCAGAGCAGCACACGGAAACACCGTTTACCTTCCCGCCGGAGCGGTACCTATTTATCTGCTTGCACTTTGACGTGCTTTCGAACTGCTAGGTTGGCAGGAGCAGGGACAGAGCAACGGGAGCTCACCCCGTCGCGGGGATTCGAACCGCCGACCTTCTGATCGGCAAGTCCTAGGCTCTGTGGTTTAACCCACAGCGCCACCCATGTCCCTAGACGTCCCTATTTTCATCAGAGAAGGTTGGAGGGTATGGAGTTCTCTGACCCCTGAGCTGTCTGAAGGCAGCCCTGTATAGGGACGTTTTTAATGTTTAACGATTTATTATGTTTTTATATATGTTAGAAGCCACCCAGAGTGGCAAGCCAGCATGATGGGGGGTGGTATAAATAGTAACATCATCATCATCATTATTATTATTAAATAGGACGTCCCTATTTTCATCAGAGAAATATTGGAGGGTATGTTAATATCTTGTATTGGGCTGAGTCATCCATAGGCTGCAAATGCAGGCCTTGTTAGATTGGTGTCCTATGATTTCAATATGCCACATCGTTTAGCATTCCACCAACTGCAATAGCTGTAGCTTCTGACCCATCTTCAAGGATGAATCTATGGGCATCCTGCAAGGAAGTGCAACCCTTTCCAGATGCTGGTGGTGGGAATTTATTTTAGTGCTAATGCTGGGGTTTAGTTTTCAAAAGGGAGGCAGAATTGATTTGCCTGTCGCCACGAGACAT